GCGAATTATCAGAACTACTTCAGTAAGACAGTAATATTGTGCTTTACCTGGAAACCTAAAGCTGCACTAGGTATACATCACATATTAGCACAAAAACTTGATATTTTGAGTGCTCAATTGAAAATGTCCACATAACGTATCAATCGTACTTACAGGTTGCGCTTCGGAGAGCTTGTTAGTCCAAATTAAGAAGATTAGAATCCGACGAAGATAAAAGCCAAGATTAGAGAAGCAGTCCTTGACATGCACACAACAAAAGGTTCAGATTGTATTTCTGTGGTATCCTTGAACAGCTTTTCAGATTGTTTTAATTTAAGCATAGCTACGTTATAAACTGCAAAAGAGATATTTTTCGAAAACCCTGCTCTTTAAGACAAAGCTGATATCTCAATGAGGCATATAAGAGTATCACCCCTTAGTATCCTGAGCGTAGAGTAACCTCTGTCAGAGCTATTGTTTTGTGGGCCGCACATCGACGTGAAGGCACAACTGCACCTCAGACAGCATGGGTTTGAATCCCAGCTAAAGGTACTTTCCTGCTCCTGTTCCCTTCTCACCTGAAATTAATTAAAGGGGTCATATGATGCTGCTAAAAAGAACATTATTTTGTGTATTTGGTGTAATGAAATGTGTTTATGCGGTTTAAAGTAAAAAAAACACATTATTTTCCACTTAAGTGACTTGATATTAACTTGTTAATATCAAGTTAATTCACCTCAGACAATGATGGATCTTATAAACTCATAATCAATCATTTTAAAGTTTGATTAATCCTACTAAATAACTTTTATTATTTATTGTTTATTGATCTGTAGTTTTAACAGCAGTATATCAGTGTGAGTGTGTTTGTGCTAGATATCAGTCATGTGATCAGCTGCAGCCCAATCGCAGACGTGCTGATATTCAGATCAACAGCACTCTTATTCATGTGATATAGATTAAATATTGAAACATGATGAAAGCTGGAAGATCCAGACCTATGGGTGTAATGATTACTGACTATTGAATGGTAAGATCCTCAGAGAGGAAAACCTGTAACAAAAGAAGAATGGAAAGACAGTGTCTGTGAAGGTGGTTGTGAATGTGTGTAGATGTGTGTTAGTTACAGGATCAGAGAATGACACTGTTCCTCCGTCATAGTCCAGATACACTCTCACTTGCTCAAGCTTCTGTTTAACATGAAAACCAGATGACAGAAATAGTCTGTACTGATGGTACTGCACACTCCAGACATCAGTGTCAAAGAAATCCCACCCTTTCCTTTGGTTTGATGCTGCAGTCACTCCAAGACTCCAGCACTGACCCTCTTTAACCTCCACATCCCAGCAGTGTGTTCCTGAGTTAAAACCCTCTGAACCCAAAACACAGGCATACTCGTCAAATCTCTCTGGATTATTTGGAACAGGTTGTTTGTTCCATCTGTCTCTCACACTGGTCAGATCCTCAGACAGGATTAGATGTGGATTTGCTGTGTTTGGATCCAGAATCACAGGAGCTGATGAGACATTATAATAATGAGAAATTATAATATTTTAAGATGTAATAAAATCTCTGTGGTGTGAGTAACTGAAGCAGGTTCTTCTGGTAAACACATCATTAGCTAAACAGACCCTCATCATTGTGTTTCTTCACTGGAAAAATCAAGATACATGAAGCAGCACTTCTAAATGGTCTAAATGGGTTGTCCCTATTCTCTTAATGGGTAATGGGTGTTTTTTGGGCGTAACGTGCAATAAACCAATCAGAGTCTCACATTCCCTTTAAGAGCCAGTTGCGCTCGTGCCATGGCGAATTTGCTATTTACACAACGGAATGTGCAAGTGCAAAGACAGAACGCATCTCCAGAGAGGTAACGGATCTGCTCGTGCGCAAGCAAATAGGTAGCCTAATTCTGATGCATGCAATGACTATCCATTATGACATGTAGGCATTTTTATATTTATGTAGCCTACACAATAATAATCTTTTACATTGCAATCCTTTAATTTTTAATATTTGGTATGTTTGTGTGCTGCTGTGCATCCCTGTGTGTGTAATAAGCAGAGTGTACGCGCGCTGTGGACCCGCCTATACTAACGCACTCTTTAAATAACAAAAAAACTACTGCGCCATTGACTTTAGACCAGGTTTTTGTTGGTCAATGGTGCAGTCTATTTTCAGTTCCTCAAAATAGCAATGCGCCAACAATGCGCCTGAACACACCTCTTTTTTAGACCAGCACGCCCATAGGCACACAAATGGGCGCAAATGCATTTGCTATTTAAACAACGCGGCGCAGGATGGGAAAATGATAACTGCGTCGGGCTGAATCTAGCAAAAACACTTGCGCCGCATTGCACCAGGTGTATGATAGGGCCCTAAGTGGTACATTTTAACAATATGATTTTTAAGAACATTCTTTTCAAGGATTCTTCTTAAGTTTTGTCTTTAAAAAACAAGACAAATTTTTTTTATTTTTTACTTCTTAAGCAATAACTTTCAGAATACAAAATAATCTTATATTTTTTTCTCAAGTCACAAAATAAGAAGAAAATGAATAATTATGTTCCTAATATTGTGAATCAGTTACAATAATTGATAAATAATTACTTTTTATTCTATGGGGTAGCTACAACAGCAAAAGACCTCAAATCCAAAAGGACATGTCTCGGCATGGAGGTGGAAATATCGCTGTTTATGAAGAAGTTAAACTTGCATATTTGCTATTGGTAGACGCACAGACTACCAATAGCAACCAATAGTATCTCTCTCTCTGGTAACTGCATTACTCTGCAATGGAGGCAACACTGAAGCCTCCATTACTAGATCTTTTGTAATTACAATGTGATTCTGGGTAGAGAACACTGTAACAGTTTTCATATGTATTATGATTAATTTTGTTTGCTGTTTTGGCATGGTAATATTATACAGTACATTAATAGGAAAGGGGGCCCACAAATTCCTTTGCCTATGTCGCAATAAGAGGTAAATCCAGCCCTGGACTTGAGTACGTGAAAAAATAAGAAACATTCTCAAAAACACAGTTTATTATATACCAAAACTAGTATGATCTTCACGTACTACCAACTGAAATAATCAAGTACTTTTGTGTCATGATAAACTGTATGTGTAAGAGCACAGATCTTCTCCAGACTCACTGTTTTGGACAATGTCCTGCATCTTCTTCCAGACTCTGAAGGGCAGGTTGCCCAAGTAACGTGGCACATGAATCAAAGCTCCAGAAGGCATCTGTGGATCCGGCTGTTTAATCTGACGCTCTGTGTGCTCAGCTTGAGACTGAAATCAAACCGCATTCACTTCAGTCATCTCAATCAACACACATTATCACATCACATCATTAATATCCATGATAGACTCAAAAGTAAAAGCAAAGAGAGACTTCCATCAGCACCCTCTGCGCAGATCAAGCAGATAACAGAGCAGGTGAGGGCCTGCACTATTTAATTTATACCAGATGAGTTCAAGGTTGCACAGGCATTAGAGAACCTCCTCCCGATGATGCCACCTAACATTTTATGTATCAGATCCTCACAGATCATCTAAGCACTGCTAGTGGCAGATTCTTATTCTAACTCAACACACCCTTATACAGACACTATGCAAGCTTTCATTAAGATGTATCCGCACAAGCTGGTCCTGCAGAACATTGCTGAAGTCATGGATGTCCCAAATATCAGAACTGGAGATGTGAAGGCTTTTAAGCTGTTTGCACTATGTGTGCGTTCCCTAGTGAGCATGCTGGAACAACTGGGACCTGAAAGAACTGTTTAATTAGACTGTGGGTCGCATGTTTCAAGACTTCAAAGCAAACTCCCTCATGAGCTAAAAATTAGCTTCAAGAGATACATACACCCACTGAGGGTAACCATACCAACTATCCTAGATTTCTCTAACTGGTTGGAGTACGAGCTCCAAGTACAAGATGATGGCAAAAGGATGACAGGTTTCCCACCAGAACCCAGCAGTAAGAAATGGCAGGACTGCTGTGACCTAAGGGCTTCAAGGCAACCAACCTCAATCTTGTTGGGCACACAGAAACCTATTACTCGTAGTGAAATCCAAGCTCCCGCTCCAGAGGTAATGTTTATATCTGCCAGATTCAAAGGGAGATTGCATGCATATTGCCCCTACTATGACAATACCATTCACTTCTTGAATGGGTGTGCCAATTTCAAAGAAATCACTAAGGAACAGAAGAAATCTTGGATCCGAAAGATCAATCGATGCTGGTGCTGTGGACGAAGTCATCATGCCTTAAAATCCAACCTGAAATCTCTGGACATCCTGTATGAAGATCACATTGTCTATAGCCACAAGGTGAGCAAAGTCATCATCACCAACGGGGACAAATCTTTTGAGGCATATGCTGTGTTAGACGACCGCACCACAGCACAGCAGTTAAATCTGAAAGGGCAGTCTAAGGACCAACAGTCTCGTTCATTGTGTCTCCTGTCACTAAGTAACGCTTGGTCCCACTGAGCAATCTCACCCTGTTGCATCTCTCCAGAAGATGTACCAACATTTAGCTGGATTGCCTTTGCAGCAAATAGACAGAGTACAGCCTGTACTGCTAATTGGCTCAGATTGTCAACACCTTCTTATCTCTATTGAGCTCTTTCGCCTAGGCCCTCCAGGTGGACCTGCCACAGTCAGAACTCGGCTAGGCTGGAAGCTACAAGGCCTTACACATGAGATCAATCATTGGCTCAACACTTACCAGTGCCTCTTTACTGCCATCTCCCCCAATGCTGATCTGTTTCCCTAAGTGGAAAAGACTGAAAATTGAGAATTTACTATTGTCATTTTGCATTATTTACACACTACTTTCGTATTTAATGCTGTACAGTTGCTTTGACACAATCTGTATTGTTAAAAGCGCTATATAAATAAAGGTGACTTGACTTGACTATGGCAGATGGATGTAATTCCATATCACAGTGAGAAAGTAGTGACCCAGTCAAAATTTGATCAAGAGGCCATCAGACTTTACAAGAGAAAACAGTGAGCGTTAATGTGGATGGTGTCATGCGGTATGTGACACCACTCCTTCGCATACAACATATGCCAACTCTGCATGTGCCAAAAAAGCTTTCCTGCTGCAGCTAAGAAGCATTGAGCGGAAGCTGATGAAGAACCCTGATCAGGCGTGTGCTTACAAAACTGAGAATGAGAGACTTAAGAATGTTGGCTATGTGGAGAAACTGCAACCTGCAACTGAAACTCAGCGAGGCTAAAGCCGGGTTTCCATCCAAAGTTGCGAATTTAACTTATACGCAAAACTGGAATATCACATAAAACATTTGCGAACAAGCATAGTTTCCATCCAACAAGTCAAAGAGAACAATATCATCACTTCCTGATAAACTGGCACTATAAATCACTAAGAAAAGTAGGAGAATATACTAATTTTCATATATAATAATTTACTTGCACCTCAAAGCGAGCAGACGAAACACAATAAATGCGGCCATTGCTTTCGGAGGTGGATGCTGCTGTTTGGGAACGCAGTCTTGTAAGACATTTCTGGGAGGCAATTATACATAAATACTTTGATGACAGACTTTGCATTTCCGAATGACCATAACAACATTTCAGATGCTGTGAATGAGATCGGTCCGCTGGTTAGTCAGGTTTTGCCTTCCCATAGCGCAAGGTCACATGACTTTTTTGATGCGCTTGGAGGAATTTATCCGCAAAATGCATTTCCATCTCTCATTATTCGCATCAACCCTTTTTCGCACAAGTCAAAAACCACCTCAAGCGAGCGTAAAAACTTTTTTGTGAATTACGGGATTTTTATTTGAAATTTGCCATTTCCATCACTCGTTTCTCATGCAACACTTCAAAATGCGCATTAAAATAGGGTGATGGAAACTTAGCTTGAGAGATCACAAAAGTCAAGGTACATCCCTCACCATATGATCTCGCATAACGGCAAGAATCGTGTCGTTTAGAACTGCTCATTCCAGTATGAGGGCTAAAACTTGAATGAGCTGCTTGAACCTCCCTGTTTCAGCACTGGTCTTTCACACCTTGGATCTGAAAAAGACTCCAGAAATGGGTGTGTAAAACTGGAAAAGTGGGAGTGTAGAGGGTGGGAAAAGGAGAGACAACAACCAATAAAACACAGACCTACAACACACTCATTATACAGACAAATGAATATTAAAATATCTTTAAAACAGAAAGAATAAAGGCAGTTACTTTCTGTTTACTCTTCTTTGAATTTTCGGGCTGTATCGTTTGCTGTGTCTCACAATAATCCGTCGTGTCATCGCGTTCATGATCAGACGAGCCGCAGCTGCCGCTGTATCAGCGCATCCCCTTATTTGCACATCTTTTATTTAAAGAAGACATGATATGTGCGCGTGCTAGTTCATGTTTGGAGCACGGGAGAATATGAACTATGTTCACATAAACACGCTTGCTCCGGTCCGGATATGAACTATGATCCGCGCAGCGAGTGTTATTAAACCCATCGCGGCGTTCAGCGCAGAAACCACTCTCTCATGCGAGCTCCACGTGTTGTCATATGAAATATTGTTACGGTCATGTTTACAGAAATGAACTGACAGTGCGAAGTTCTTTCATGAGATTTGAATTCTCAGCTGTAAGATAACCTCATGCATAATACAGCGCAGTGATTGGATCATAAGAGTTAATTCTCATCATGAATACTACTGAAAAAAGCGCAGAAAACTGATGACGTAGACTTGTACTCTCTAGCAATGGCAGCCAATCACCACTCCAGATTAACGCATATGCGTCACTTTTTGTGATGTAGGCTCAACTTTGCTTTTTGAACCGGAAGAATGAAATTGCTTAAAAAAATGAAAGAAAAAAAAACACTTTTACTTTAATGATAGACATAATGAGTGCTAAAGTTGTTTTTACTGATGTGCAACCTGTTCATATATGTTAACATCTCAAAAAATGTGTTTTAAGGTTTCTTGACACTTTAAGTCTCACCCTGTTGACAGTGTTGCTGCATTTCCGTGAACACGAACATTTCCGGGATGTTTCATCAGGTGAGGCTGCTTCCTGATGACAAACCTTTACTTCGGTTCATGTGGAGAGACATAACCTTAGATCAAGAACCACATGTGTACCAGTGGCAAGTACTTCCCTTTGGGACTATCTGCAGTCCCTGTTGTGCCAGGAGATCATGTGAGGGAGGTGATAGAAAAGTCCTTCTATGTTGACAATTGTCTCCACAGTCTCACCTCCAAAGATGCTGCCAAAGATCTTGTTGATCAACTCTGTGCGCTGCTAAATGAAGGGGCTTTGAATTGTGACATTGGGCCAACAATTGCCTGGCAGTGGGCGCTCGCATTCCCTCTGATACAAGATTGAACAGCTGTGAGCTCTGGCTTAGTTAGAGCCTGCACGATACCCATGCATCTACCCTTGAACTGCTCTGGCATTGGACACTTTGCACTACAAGCACAGGGAAGTGAATTGCACTAAAGTAACCATGTGCAGCATTTATTGTGTCCTGGCCAGCCAATATGATCCCCTTGGCTATATTATCCCATACACCACCAGAGCGAAAATACTGGTTGCAGCACCTGTGGAATAAAAAGCGTGACTGGGTTGACCCACAACTTCCAGAAGATATGCTCAGCTTTATGGAGTTCCTTGGAAAACGGATTGAATGATCCGGAAGAGATATCACTGCCAAGATACTATTCCAGTCCATACATAGACCTCCTGACTAGTAGACGTGATATACACGTATTCTGTCATGCATATGAGCAGGCCTATGGACCCATGGCCTAATTGCGGACCGAAAACACAGAAGGCCAAGTTGAAGTTGCATTTCTAGCGGCCAGATCACGTGTTGCCCCCCAAAAGCAACAGTCTATACCTCGCCTTGAACTATGTTCAGCTCTGAGTGGCGCACGGCTCTCCAAAGTCCTTGTCACAGAACTCACCATCCCTATCTGTTCCTTTAACACGCTGGTTAGATTCTATGACTGTGCCCACCTGGCTGTTGTCAAGTTCATGTTGTTACAAGGTGTTTGTGGGAACTCAGGTAGCGGAAATACAAGAACATTTGCATTACATACGGTATCATCTGAGGACAATCCTGCAGACACCATCACAAGAGGTAAATGCCTGTGTGACCTCGTAAAATGAAGCCAATGGAATCGAGGTCCTTCCTTTCTCAAACTGCCACCAGAGAATTAGCCAGAGCAACATTCCCTGCCTGCTGAAGAGCAGAGTAACGAGTTAAGTAGCATTTTGTGGATCATCTACAGTTTTACATTTGTCAAATCCACAGCAGTGTGACACACTAGCTGAGTTCATAAAGGCATGCAGTCAGCATCTTTATGGTGCAGCAAACATTATATGTGCTGATAAACAAAGAGAGATAGAACAAACAGTGCTTCATGTAACATGACTCTGGGCCTGTTCCACTTTAGCCGACTATGGGGCGGGTCTTTGAGAGTTGTGTAATTTTGAACACCTGCCAAGAACTATGAAATGGTCTCTTGGATTTTGGTTTGGCCCTTCTGTTTTGCCTCTTGGTTTGTTATTATTTTTGGTTGTTTCCTTATAGTTCTTTTGGACATTTTGCTGGTGCACAGCTTCTGATTCAGTTCTTGCTGATGAATTTGCTTTAATTCACAAAAATAAGTTTGAAATTAGACAAGAACCTGATTGGTTTGCATATGATAAGAGTATGGAAAATCTTGATTTCTCTAGGACAAAACTGTCGCGTCCATCTGGGAAAGGTGATTCAGAAGATGTATGCAATTACTGTCAGGCTAAAGGCCACTGGAAACATGAATGCCCAGTGCTTTAAGCTAAAGTTCAATATTCAACAGGAAATAAGAAAACTAAAAGTGCTGTTTTAGGAGCAAAATCGGTAGAGTTGGTAACATCTGTTCAGTCAACGCCTGAAATGGCTGTTGAAAATGACTGTGAAATCCTGAATTCTAGTTTTTCACGTTTTGTTACAGAAGGTTATATTTCACTAGTAGGCTCTAGAGAAAGGAATCATATACTGGTAGCAATGTTTTGATTGAATGAATGAATGATGCATTTATACTAGAGGAATGATTAGAAGAATAGGATTGAATGTAGTCTCAGTTCCCCTACTGGAAGTGATGATGATTTCAGATTTGGTCCAGGAAGAGGTAAGACTTGGGGTATGGCCCTGTTTGCCAGTTGTAGGTGTGGACATTATTCTTCTAAACAATTTAGCTGGGGATAGAGTCAGTTGGTCCACCAGCTTTGGTGGTGTCCTCCTCTTTATCTGTTTCAGATGTGTCCGATGAAAATGCCCAGAATTTTCTAGAAGTGTTTGTTTC